TCACAGAATGTATTTTCAAGACAACAAGAATTGGAATTACTTTACTAATCTTTGCAAATAAAAACCATCATCAGTCCCAAACTCTGAGAGACTTTTTCCCCAAAAAATGTTCATTTTGTAACATTTGCCATTCAACTCCTTCAAAACCAACCAGCATGAGAAAGGAGTACATTGGGTGATGGAAAAAAGCAATATTTAATGAGAATTTTATTAGACATTGTAATTAATCACAATTGATTAATTTATTCCACATTATAAAACAATGTCTATGAATGATTGTATGAGAATCCAATATGATTTATAAACTTACACACTAAGGTTTTAGAAAGTAATAAAGTTAACCTATTAAAAGAAAACAAAAGAACCAATACTGAACAATCCCAGTTACAGGATCTGCCCTGCAGATCACAGGACTCTAAGCTTCACACATCCTTCAAGTTATGCTTAGGGGAAGGGGAGACGGAGGGTGTTGGCTGGTGTCCATGTACAAGTTCTTCTTCCTGAAGGGGCCATCAGGCCAACTCTAGAGTTTCAGTCTGGAAGGTGAGCCGAGCAATGAGCGGAAGTGGAGTGAGCTGCCTGTCAGCTGCAGAGTCTCTCCTTACAGAGTGAAGAGCTACAGGCTGTCTAATGCCATCAGAGGAACTGATTTCTGGAGGTCACCTTTGACAAAGGGGGAAGTGGAGAGTCTGTATGCGCCTTGTTACTGTTCCTTCCACTTTTTTTATGGTTTGGGCACTTCATAAACATAAGACCTTAAGGACACTGCTGTTATCTCCTGTTCACTGAATCTCCTTCAGGTTTGCAGTGTACTGTTGATGCTCATATTCTGAATGTTAAGGCAAACCTGAGTTTCAAATTGACTCTTCTTTAGAAACCACTGAAAGATTTCCTTAAATAGCATCACCTTGAACTTAGTGTTCCTAAAAGAGTTGGACTCTGGCACCAAGACTCTCAAGCTAGTGAAGCTCTTAAAGTTTGTAAAAGTTGTTTACGACTTTGGCCATTCCAATTCTCATACTTTTATTGTCCAATGTTTAAAAGAAAAAGGTGTATGTGTGAAATTGTTGAGTTATAAAATGATCTTACATGCTGTTTTTGGTAATAAAGACTCAACAAACATACCAGTATGCCCTGATTTACACAGTGTTGTAATCTACATTTAAAATCTTTTCAGTTAAAGATTTTAAGTTTTGATGTTCTAGAAATCTGTTGGCCACCTGTTACAGCAGATTGATTCAAATCAAATGAAAATGATTTGATGAAAACTATTAATAGAATCTTAGCTAAATGTAGAATGTGAGACTGTAGTATTACAGGATTGCATTGTTGATTAAAAAATAACTCAATGAGATGAGTTGTTCTACCTATCTGATATTTCTTGTTCCTCTTTTCTACCTGGGGGCATATTTTATGTTCACAAATGCTTTATACACATAGGTTAGTGCCTTGTGAATAGCAGGTGGTCAAGTCTTTCATGGTTTCAGCCTGCAATCCTGGAGGGCTACCCACTCACCATCCAGAGTCTACCTTACAGGTTATTGAGAATTGAGACCTTCGTCTGTGGAAGATCCCAGCCATAACCCATGGCTGATTATTTCATTTCCTCATTCCAATAGCGTTTTGAAGGCTAGGTGATATCTCCATGTTACAGATGAGGAAACTGAATCTGAGAACATTAACCTAGCCATTCAAGTAGATGTATCTTAGTAATAGCACTCAGTACAGCAGGCTTACTCTTCTACCTCTTCCTAGCCAACAGGGAAAAGGGCAGTTGGCACGCATCTGCAATATTTGACAGCTACAAGACATTAATAGTATTTGATTAATAATACTAACAAAGCTTTTCTTCTTCTGTCACATTATAAAAAGAATACATATCCATTATTAAACTGTAGGTGGGTAAAAAAGAAAAATTACCTAAAACCGTAACAACCTATGGAGGTAAACACTGTTAACATTTTGGTACAGATCTTCCTAGGATTTTGTATGACATTTAAATACTTCCTTTGAATAAGGATATTGATGTTCTATGTATTGTTTAGGGAGCTCTGGTGGCTTAGTGGTAAGGAATTTTGCTGCCAGTACAAAGGTATGCGACTCAAACCCACCAGCTGCTCTGCAAGAGGAAAATGGGCAATCTCCTCCCATGTGATTTATTGCCTCTGAAAACCCACTGGTCGATTTCTGATTTCACGGTACTCAACAACATGTCCTGTTTAGCAGCCTACCTTTCTCAATATGTAAAAAAAAAAAAAAGTGATATATGTGTACAACACATGATGCTAATTATTTCCTTTACCTAAATGGCTTAGCACAATGTGCTTAACCAGTTGTTTGAGTTGGTGGGCATCTTTGTAGATGTATTTAATGTCAAGCTATGTGCTTAACCAATTGTTTGAATAGGTGGACATCTTTGTAGATGTTTTTAATGTCAAGCACAGAATTCTAAGCTGTCTATTGATCCTCTGAGTCATCAGGGGGAAAAAAATTCTCTCTGTTGATTACTAATGAAGTAAAAAGGGAGCTTTGGCAACCTACTGGTCAGAAGCTGGGCTGCAATACAGAAGGTACACAGTTCCAATCCCCAGCTTCTCTGAGGGAGAAGGATGGACGATCTCTCCTGTACAATTAACTGCCTCTGAAAACCAGCTGGGGGTCAGATACGACTGGATGGTAGGCAGCAGCAGCAGCAGCAGCAGCAAAAGCAATGAAGTAAAACTTTTGTGTGTTTGTTTATAGACCATCACTGTTTCTTCTTTGGTAGCTTTCCTATTTATGTGTGTTACTGATTTTGTTTTCTATTGAGATGTTAAATTTTTGCTGATTTTTTTTCTGCAAGAACTCATGCCCACAGTATCAACATTGCTATATTGATATAGTTAGAATTTTCCTTGCTTTGCTTTCTTTTGGTTTGTTTCAGATGTTTTTTACTATTACTGTTTCCCCCTGACCTGTTGCTATATTTGTCTTGATAATTACTGCTCTTGGTTTTATTAATGCTTAAAGATTTCCCTCATTCCAAGGTGTCATATATATTTAATTTAATGTTGTGGTTTCATTTCTTACATTTAAATTTTTATTCTCTGAAATTTTATTTTGTGGTGTAAAGGAAAGGTCTACTGCTTTCCCTCCACTGATTTAAAAGCTAACCTTTTGGGGGATATATTTGCCCTGTTTTTTTTAATTTTCTACTCAGTTCCTTTAATCTTATATTCATTGCTTTAATTATGTGAGTTTTGTATGTCACATTCATCTTTTACCTCACTAATGATTTTCAGAAATTAATCTTTTAGATAAAATTTGGAATAATTTTGTCTAATTGATTGGGAATGCTTTGCTTTTTTAAAAGAAAAATTTTATTTTTTTTATTGGTTTGCTTACAGAGTTCATATGCATTGTGTTTTCCACTGTACTTCATTCACATTGTGTTTCATACAAGCATTCCCATTCCTTATGTTTTATAAAAGTAATCATCATAGAACTATGCCCACCACGGCCTTGTCTTTCCAGATCCCCGCTAGATCATTCCCCTTTCCTTTACCCATCCCTCCCTCCACCCACCAAATTGTGCAACCCTTTGATTCCCCCCCCCAATTCCGTGCACCAGTTCTTACCCCTCTATTCCCACCCTCTCCACCTTGGATCCTCATACATGTTTTATTAGTTATCTTTCTATTTCTACAATATTAGTCTTATACAGTATTTTCACTCAGCATAATACTCTCCAGTCCCTACCAGGTTATGTAATTTTAAAAAATCATTACTCCTGAGTTCTGCATAGTACTGCACTGCGTGATTGTACCACAATTTCTCAATACATTTGATATTGGTTGGGCATTTGGGTTGTTTCCATGTTCTTGCTTTGGTAAATAATGCTGCTATGAACATTGGTGTAGAGATTTCTGTTTGTGTTTTAGTCCTCATTTTCTTGGGGTTTATATGCCTAGCAGTGGAATAGCTGGGTCATGTGGAATTTCTGTGTTCAGCTTTTTTGAGGAAACACCAAACTGCCTTCCAGAGTGGTTGTACCATTTAACAATCCCAGCGTATGAGAACTCCTCTCTCTTTCCCCACATCTTCTCACACATTTACTGCTTGCTACTCTGCTAAACTTTACCACTGCTACTGGGGTGAGAAGGTATCTCATTGTGGTTATGATTTGCATTCTTCTTATTACCAGTGATTTGGGGAATGCATTGCTTTCATAGAATAATTTCCAGAAAATGAACAACTTCAATGTTCTAAATTTTTGTGATGTGCTGTTTTTCCTCTTTTCAGTCTTCTTAAGATTTTATTCCTATGTAGTCTACATATTTCTTGACTATTCCTGAGGATTTTATGGTTTGGATTGCTATTATGAATAAGCTTTTTAAAAAGACCTCATCACTACGTTTTCTAAGTGATTTGAAAGTTAAACTTATATCATGAATGAACTAGTGAACAAACATTTATGTATTTTTTACAAGTGCTGCTTGAAAGATAATTACTCTTATATATTCAGATACTTAATGTGGCCCAACTATATAGATAGTGCATTAAATAAATATGCATGGAAGATGAGAGACTGCCACATCATAGTTGTTATTGCTTTTATACTATTCCTTTAAGATAATTGAAGTGTTCTATATAATTGTGAGGAAGAGAGAATAAAATGTCCAGAAATAAAAACCAATAATAGGTATTTTTTGTTGAGTACCATCGAGTCAGAACCAACTCATAGTTCTTAAGAGGCAATAAATCACATGGGAGGAGATTGCCCATCTTTCTTCCATGGATCAGCTAGTGAATTTGAACCTTGTGCCTTTAGTTTGGCATCATATTTCTTTTCCTTATACTAAGCCACCAGAGTGACCTGATAAGTGCTTTAGTGCTTTACAAAAAAATAAAAAAAAAAAAGCACTTTGCAAATAATTTACCATGAACTTCCAGTTCCCAGTGATAACTTACAGTCGGTTTTCATCTCATTCTGATTAAACAATGTCACTTCTCTCTTCCAGATTTCAGAGACAGCTGTCTGAACCCTGCCACCCCTTCCCGCCTCAGTCAGGAGTTCCTGGAGATAATCGCCCCAGTTACCACCGGCAAATGTCAGAACCCATTGTTCCTGCAGCTCCCCCACCCCCTCAGGGATTCAAACAAGAATACCATGACCCGCTTTATGAACATGGTGTCCCTGGCATGCCAGGCCCCCCAGCACACGGATTCCAGTCACCAATGGGAATCAAGCAAGAGCCTCGAGATTACTGCGTTGACTCAGGTTAGCATGAAATTGTGCCGTTCACTCTGGCTTCCTCTCATTCGTCCATCTGGTCCTTACTCGGTGTCTTCTATGTGCAGGAATTTGGAAAATAGCCTTAAGAAAGTTTCTCTTGAAGACCTTATGATGATCAAATAAAGCAGAAATGCTTATGTATAGCCGGAAGAGCATGACAGAAGAGCCAAGACACAATAGGTGTAGCAGGTGGTACAGGGCATCCTAACTCTGCGCCCAGGCTGAAGGTGGCTGGCATCCAATCCTGGTGGTGGGACCCTTTTCAAGATCTACAAACCTTAGAGCCACTGGAGGCAGGGCATGTCATTTTGTGTTTTGTTCTGTCTCTAGTTTTATCAGGAGCTCTGGTGCCTTAGTGATTAGGAGTTGCTCTACCCAAGACAGGAGTTTCAAATCCACCAGCCAGTGTGTGGGAGAAAGAGGAACAGTCTCCTTCCATGTGATTTACTGCCTCTGAAAACCCACTGAAGGGTCAGCTTTGAGTCAGTTCCGACAGAACAGTACATAGCAACAGCAACAGTTTTGTAGTTTTCTTTTTCAGTATAGTTAGTCTTCAATGACTTCTCTCCAAACAAGGTACTTGCCCTTTAGTGCTCTGTAAGTCTTCCTCACTCTTTGAAGCAATTGAACCAACACCTACTGACAGATTTCTTCATCAGAATCATATTTGCTTGCTGCACATGCAGCTTTTTTTAAATAGACCTCAAGCCTTTTTTTTCACATCAAACTAAGACTAAATAATAAGCAAAATCTCCTGTTTTGATGTATATACAAATCTGACTTACACCCACACAAGAAATAGATTTTGCTGGTAACCAGGAGGCTGCCTGCATAACATATCTCTTTAAAGGCTTAAATAGTAGGAAAGATATCCACATTTAAGATGTTGTGCTGTTCTTGAAATGAATGCTCTCCTGGGAAAGCATCTGATTCTTCTTAGCCACGTGGGTACAGGGTGCACCATGAGAAGGGCTGTCCTCATTCTGTGGTAGAACCATTGCTTTATTGCAAGCTTTTGACTGGGAAAGATCCCCTGTGTCCTCCAGCAGCTGCTGGTATACACAGGAAGAAGTATAGCATGTTATTGTTTGGTTATGGTATACCTCTTATCTGGAAACTTAATGAAGTACATCATGACATTTAAGCTATATATACTTACCTGACATGACCCCTAATGCCTATTCACTGACAGGCCACACACATTAAATGAGGCAGTTTAGGTAGAGGGAAGGAGAGTTGGAATTTTGAAGGTTACACACTTGGAAACTATTTCCTCCCCTTCATTTCCTCTTCCAGAAATGGACTTTTTCTTATTTCACGCCCCCACATCCCCCACCTCTGCCCGCCCTCAGCGTTTCGTGCTAAGAGATGCTTAGTGGGTTTTCCACCTTTCTGTGTTCACTTTTCTTGAGGATCTGATCAAGGATGGGATAGTTTGTTCTTTAAATGGCTCTGCCATATGGGATAGGATGTAGAACTTGCTTTTGACGCTCTCTGAGATAACACGCAGAAGTGGTATTTGGTAGCATGCAAGCTTTCCACTGATATCCTCCTTAGAGCATATACAACCAGTAGTATTTCTCTTTTGGTGTTGACATTTTAATGTTCTTTGACAGATTTTTCACTTCATCCCAGTCCCTCAAAATAAGACTCTAAATGATGTTTATGTCTTTGTCACTCTTTGACCTGATTGGCCTTCCTGGGGTAAAAGGCTCAGCCCACGTGGCCACAACTCAGCTTGCTCTCCTTTCTCTTGATGGGCACCTGGATTATATAGAAGATCCTAGAAGATGAAATTAATTGAATGCGATTTGGTTTCCATTTCATGGTCTCAGCCAGTTCTTTTCTTTGCATCTTAACTTTAGGTTTCCTAATCACTTTGGCCTAAAAATAGCTTCATTTCTGGAGCAGAATTGGATGGTGGCCATCAGCAGTGAAGGAGAGAAGATTGGAAAAGATCTAAGACAGTCCCCCTCCTCTGTCCAAACCTAAGGGTTCTTGAGTCTCTGTAGGCAAGAGGTCAGATTGACCTTTTATAAGTCCGTTTCTTTTTCCACCACTAATTTTTTCCACGAGATTTGTTGGCTAGCTAATTTGTGAGTGGGCTATAAGAGTGAGGCATCATTTCCAGCTTCCCTGGCCCCTGATTGAGAATTCTTCCTTTCTATGGTAGTTTTTGGCTTGTTTTCCCTGTTGTCCCTGTTGGATAGTGTCTCTTTCCCAGGACAAGGTAGAAAAGACTCTTGGTGCAAGAGAGAGTTTAGGGGTTTACTGCAGAGCTGCCGTTCAGCTTTGTGGTGATTCTACCACAGAACTATTGACAGGTTTGTTGTGTGTCTGTGTTCCCTTTCAGAAGTGCCTAACTGCCAGTCATCCTACATGCGAGGGGGATATTTCTCCAGCAGCCATGAGGGTAAGGAGTGTTTTTGCTTGAACTTTCTTTTTTATATTTTGTTTTGTTTTTCAGTTATACTCAAGGAAGCTTAACATACCATTTTCAGGCTAAGATTCGAGATAATGGGTTAAACCTTCCAAAGATCAGGAGTATGATACACACTGATTAAACTGGTTATTTCAGTGTGTCCGGCCAGTCCCAAGCATGGAGGGCTGCCACTGTTGTGAATAGTAATGACTCCAACATTTGGAGAGTTTATAGGATAATTTGAAGGGGGAAAATGAACTAATTGGGTTTCCCTATTTTCCAACCACAAGGTTATTTTGTTCTATATGTTGCTATCATCCTACACTGGAATTTAGAGATTATGTCAGAGAGGGTAGTTTTAGGTGGATCCAAAGTTTTAGGAAAACATTTTCAAATGGGTTTCTACCTTTTTTACTTAGTTTGGATATTTAGTTGAACTCTAGTAGAATATCTAATATATATTATAAATAATAAAATCTTTGTTGCTATTAAAATGGGAGAGGATTCTGAAAACTGGTGAACAGGTAAGCTCTCGGGAGGGGTGAGGCTGAGGACACTATAGAAAGCTACAAATGCTGTCTAATTGAACAGACTAAAAATACCTCAAAGGAAAAACACGTAAACACCAATTTATCTACAAGCCTGGGTCACAACATGACATTTTCCAGGTTTTATAATTTTATGTCCAGTACCATTAGAATCAACTAATTTAGCAAATTTCAGGATAATTTCACTTTAATGAGGAGAAGGAACAGTAACAGCATTGAACCTATGACTCTACCTTCATTAGCACACTGAGTTACTAATTGGGCAAAAGTAATTTAGAACAAATAAGATGAGTAACTATTGTGCAGGCTATGGCTATAAGGAAGTGGTTAGAAAAGAGCTTCAATCTCAATTTTTTAGAGAATCTTGATTTTAAGCTTGTTTCATTTAAAAGGTAAGGTAACCTTTTACAACTCATTTTTAGTGCAAATATTATCTGCACAAAATCCAAAGACTACAGATAAGCAAAAGGATGAAAGTTAAGCCTCATTGTCCAGGGGTACGGTTAATATTTCACTGTGTAGTCCTAGTCCTTTATTGTGCATCTGTTAATTTAATATCATATCATTATAATAATATAATCCTAAAACTCATATAGGAACTTTTGTTTCATAGTCTCACCTTTCTTTTAATGGAATCATTAACTGAGTATGTACTATGTGCAAAGCACTATTCTAAGTATTCTGCATGCACTCCTATAAAATTGAATATTCTTGTTATCTTCATGGCATCATGAAGAAACTGAGACTTGAAAAGACTTGTCCAAGGTTACACAATGAGAATGGTAGATCCAAGTCCTGTGGGCACCTTGTGCACACTTTACAACCAATGGCAACATCCCTCTACTGTTCACTACTTAGTGACAGTACAGTACTTACCGTATGGGCAGGCGCTTAACCAATCACCTGTTGCTAAAAATATAGGTAATTATTTATTATTATCTAATTATTCCCCAAATCAACCAAACCAAGGTGAATATCTAGCTAGCTAAATTTCACCCACTCCCTTGATGAATTCTTCTTTTAATTTTTATTTTATATTGATTTGTATACATTTCTATACATATATATTTGTATACATTATGTTTCATTCATGTAGTTTGTGTTTCACACATTCTTTCATTCATTGTTTTATACACTCATTTCTAAACATTATATCTTATAAAACTTACTCTGTCTTTTCAGATCCTCACTAGATCTGTCCTAATTTCTTCACCCTACCCTCCCCCCCCTTGATTAATTCTTAAGGATACATTCCATAAAGGTGAAAATTCTGGGTTAAGATACGTTGGCAATTTTAAGGCTTCTGCTTCTAGATTTTGGGTGAGCCTATTTTGAGTGCACACTGTTTGTCTTTAGTGCTTATCACTGTTCTTTAAAATTTAGAATTTATTAAAAGAAATAATAGAGGAGGAAGCTTTTTGTGAGGGCTAGATAATCAGCTTAGCGGAGTGTGAGGCGGCATTGCTGCCTAGCTCTTGCACAAAGGAATGGCAATAGGAAGTGGAGGAGCTCTGTTGGCACTGAGGTGGAGTTCAAGAGAAAGGAAAGGCTCAAAAAGTAGGCCCAGGACTTTGGAGCTGCCCTTGTGAGCAAAGGTAAAACTGTAGATGAGAGGAGCAGGACTGCTCTTTTGAACATTGAATATTGTTTGGTGTTGAGTCGGAACTGACTCACAGTTGACCCTCCAGAGGCAGTAAATGGTACAGGAAGAGATTGTCCATCCTTCTCCCACTGAACAGCTGGTGAATGCAAACCGAGTGCCTTTGGGATTGCAGTGCAGCTTCTTACCACTAGGCCACCAGAGCTCCCTGAATGTTGAAATAGAAATTTCTTTGAGAACATTGAACCCAGAAGCTCATTCTTGTCTTCTGTTATACAGATCTCTAAAATGTCTAGTTGTTAGCACCCTTGAGCTGAATTCTGTTCATAGCGACTATGTACAATTACAAAACAGGATAGAGCATTAATGAGATGGACTGACACAGCTTCTGCAAGCATAACAGAGATGGTAAAGATGGAATGGAGTAGGACCGAGTTCAGAGCTGTTGTTCAGAGGGTCACTGTGAGTCATACTCTACAACAGCGTACACAACTAGTAAACGAACGTGGCTTCTGGGTACAGTAGAACAAAGCGCAGCCTTGGCCTATACCATCCGCAGCCACCATGTGGGTCCATTTCTTCGAGGATCTCCTTCCTTTGTGCTGATCCCCTACCAAGTGACATGTCCATCAGGGACTGGCCAACTGACCACATTATCCAAATAATTCACATGAGATTAAGTCCCGTCCCCACCTTCAAGGAGCATCCACCTTTTTTCCCAGGCAGTTTTGCTTCTTCTTCTGGCATATTCAATATGAAATGGTATATCTCACATTCTTCACCAGCACCATTCAGAGCTATCAGCTCTCCCTTGATTTGCCTTATTCACTGTCCAGTTCCTATAAGTGTCTATTGTTGGTGTTGCTAGATGCTGACGAGTACAATGGAGCACCATCATGGGACATAGCATGTTGTAGAAAACAAACCATAGAACATCAAGAGAGGAAACCCCTCCACAAATTGATCAACAGGGTGTTGGCAGCAGTGGGCCCAAGTAGGTCAGAGGTGGTGAGGATGGTACAAGACAGGACAGAGTTCAGATCTGAAGGATATGAGGTGATGGAAAATGTGATGGCCTGGACTAGGCGTTCAAAGTGACACTTCTGCCCTTTAACACCATAAAGAGGTCTTTTGGAGCTGATTTGCCCAATGCAATATGTTTGATTTCTGTTTTCCGTTTTTTTTTTAGAATTGTGCAATATTTCTGACTGTCCATTGTTTTATTTTGTTTACAATATATTTTTGTTTTTTACTTACAAAATTTGTATACATTGTATTTCACACTGTTCTTCAGTCACATTGTGTTGTGTTTCATACAATCATTCTCATGCACTGTTATTGTTATTATGTGCCATTGAGTCGCCTGTGACTCATAGAGACCTTATGTACAACAGCCCTAAACTCTGCTCTGTCCTATGCCAATCTCACTGTCTCCAACACACCCACCCCAATTACCTCAGTCACTGAATCAACCACCTCATAGAGGGTATTCCCCTCCTGTGCTGTCCCTCCACCCTCCCAAGCATGATGTCCCTCTCCAAAGACCAGTCCCTCCTTGCAACATGTCCAAAGTATGTTAGATGAAGCCTCAGAATCCTTGCCTCCAAGGAGCCGCCCAGTTGAACCCTATCCACGATGAATCTGTTTGTTTTCTTGGCAGTCCATGGTACATTCAATACTCTTCTCCAGCACCACAGCTCAAAGGCATCAATTCTCCTTCTATCCTCCCTAGTAATTGTCCAACTCTCTGATGCATAACAAGTGATTGCAAAGACCGTGGCCTGTATCAGGCACACTTAGTCTCCAGAGAGACACCATTGCTCTTTAGCACTTTGGAGAGGTCCCTATGTTTTCTAAAATTAATCACAATTAGACCTTACCCATCATTGCCTGGTCTTCTCAGGTCCCCACTGGATCATTCCCATTTCCTTCACCCCCTCCCTCCACCCACCACATTTTGCAAACCTGTGCTTTTTGCCCCGGCCCTTCCTCACCCCTCTGCTCCCACCCCTTCCTCCCTTGGGTTTCCATACATAGTTTACTAGTTGTTCTTCTATTTTTATAATAATGGTCTTATGCAGTATTTGTCCTTATGAGACTGAGTTCATTCACTCAGCATAATGCTCTCCAGTCTCTCCCAAGTTATATAGTATTTTGTTTTAAATTGTTGCTCCTGAGTGCTACATAGTATTCTGTTGTGTGAATGTACTGCAATATTTCAATCCATTCAGTTGTGCTTGGACATTTGGGCTGTTTGCATGTTCTTGAGGTGGTGAATAATGCTGTTAAGAGAGAAACTGGGACCAGGCTTCGAACGCCTATTTGTGGACTAAAGAGACTGTCAAATACAGCCAGAAATGCACAATCTGGAGAGGATAAAATTGATGAATTGGACTTTCTAAAGATTAAATCTCTATGTTCATCAAAAACTTTTTCCAACAGGGTGAAAACGCAAACTGGCTGTATTCTAAAGTTGTTGGATGTTTGCAGCTTTTTAAAAGTTTCTGGATGTTAGACAGTCCAGGTGTGCCAGACGTTGCTGTTTTTAAACTATTTCTATTCAGCTCGGGCTGCTTTGCTCACTGGGAAGGGAAGATAGTTGGTGACACTAGACCTATGTCCTCCATCATCCAATGGCATGCCTCAATAGCAACCACACACCTGGGACAGACAATGCTTCTGATAAAAAGCACATGAAGTTTAAGTCTCTGCCTGCAGTTTTTCACTGCAGGATGGTTGTTACATCTGGCTCAAAATTTTTTTTCTCTGTCTGCCAAAGAGGGATGGAATGTACTTCTCCCCTTGAAAGTATGTTGACTCAGTGACTCATTTAGACCATAAAA